TGTCCCGCCAAAGTTTTCGTTAAGTTATATTTATCTATTGGCCCACCGTAAGACTAATTTGAAGCAAAGAGGTTAAGGCAATATCTTCTTACATGCACACGAAGAAATAAACGCTACGGTTGTCAGTATTTTATCAGGACAAAATAAAAGGGCACAAATTACTAAATTTTAATGATTTGGTAAATTTGCATTTTACAGAAAGATTTGATAGTAAGCAAACTGGGAATCTTTCTTGTTCTTTTTCTTTCTTGTTTTTTTTTATTCGCGTTCAAAATATCTTGCAGAAATTTTTACGCACCGCATCATTTCTGCACAGAGAAGGAACTCCCACGACATGTCGGCCTTTCTGCCTAGTATATTCGAGCACAAAGGTTTTGCTCATCATTAAATGCATATGCTCCCTTAAATGGACCCTGGCTCCTTTAGTTGAATGTTTGCAGAACTAGGATCGTTGATGACGTCATCGAGGGACTCCTCGAGTTCAGCCAGTGATCTGCTCCCCTGCTGCTGGGGCCTGGTCTCTGCATAGCTCCCCGCCTGCTGACGCAGAGGATACGCGCTATCAACCGCCTTCTTCAGGAGGAGGCGGTCCTCTGAGGCAAGACTTGGTTCACTGGAGTCCACGTCTTCGTCGCCCTCAAGACCAACATAGCGAAGCGTGACGTCCGTGTCCCTGGCGGCGACCGCGTGGACCAGGACGTGGAACTCTTCGGTCTCCTTCTCGATGAGATCCCTGGACTTTTCATACTCCTCTAAAAATCTAAAGAACTCGTCTTTCTTGGACATGATGTCTTTAAGTTTCTTTTCCTNTCATCTGCCTGCGTGAGATGTGCGTACGTGAGTTGCTTATTAATTCCCATTTCAGGAGTCAGAAACCATTAAAAATGTTTTGGGACATATTTGAGCTTTTAAAATAAGAATTGTAATAATCGATCAGAGTGTTCAAGTCTCTGATTATAAATATATTGTTTAGTTATCGGTTTAAGTAACAACTCAGACAATCGCATTGACACCTCATTTAAAAGCTAGGCGTGCAGGAGGAAAGCTGGAGGTTTGGAATAGAATAGAATAGAAGTGCCGGCATTGAAGAAGTAGGCCCATGGCCTGTTGCCGATTCTTGTACTTTACGTGACTTGATTCACAAGGGATCCGGCCTTTGGAACCCGATCTTTCCATAGCTGACTATTGGGTGCGAGGATCTGGCAGCACCCAAACGCAGCGTCGGGCCTTTCATAAAAGCCAACTACCGCGCGACATATACAGTGCCGGAAATGGCTATACGACCACCCAGTTTTCTCCAAATATTTTTTCTTGTACAAAAAATTATGGGATTCTAATTATACGAGGTTAAACTACGTTTAAAAACGGTTCCAACGCTATGAGAAAAAAATAATTTTCTCAAAATATATGAGAAGAAATTATGAAAATTAGAAAAACCTAGGTGGAAATGGTTATAAGACCTAGATATGTTTTTCCGTTTGTGGATCACATACACTCATTTTANGTTTTTAAACGTAGTTTAACCTCTTATAATTAGAATCCCATAAATTTTTGTGCAAGAAAAAATATTTGGAGAAAACTGGGTGGTCGTATAGCCATTTCCGGCACTGTAGTCCGTGTGCATTAGCACATGCACGTATGCACATAAAAATTCTCTCAGTAGACATGAGTGTGCGCACACCGACCCGAGTATACATGTGTGCCCGAGTATACATGTGTATACACACACAGTGCCCGAGTATACATGTGTGCGCACTCGCCACACAGCGCTACACATGCCGACGCGTTTCCCACACATGCCCAACGTATAACCTGCATAAATATAATTACTTCACACAAGAGCCGCATAGTATGGCTGAGAATTTCTTGAGTCCCAGGTCTGATTCATCTCATCCTTCTTAGAACCAACATATGTAGGTATGGCATTGGTACGATTGGCCCATATCCTACGTGTTACTATATTCCATAATATTGGTAGGTTTCTAAAGTTGGCAGTAGTATTGCATAAATTATTTAGGGTGCGTAGTATGTATAGTTTTGCACCAACTATTCTATCCTGTCTCCTCCTCCCTCTGACCCTCTCCCTTCTGTTTCCTTCAGCTCACAGTATTCCCATCAGTCACTACCTCACACTAGCCAGGAAGTTTCTACAATGTGACGATGTATGTTAGTATGTATAATACGAGCTTGTAAACCTGTCATCGTAGCAATTGAATTGATGCTCTATTTCCTTTTAAACGAAGCGTTATCTTTCACCGAGTTTTGTCTCCATCGTTTTCACTTCTACATACATTAAAATCCCTCACCTTGTTTCACAGACTCTTTCACACCCCTTCACACAAAAGGCTTACATCTTCTGTCACTTATTCACCTTGTGCTTGTGTCCTTTCACACTTAATTAATACTTTTATGTTCTTTTACTGCCACGCACAATAGAAAGCCTCAACGTGTGATGACATCCTACATAACGCTATACTTGGCCATATTTTTCACTTTAAATAACAGCTGAATTTTCTTCACAAATCACTGTGGCCCGGTTCACAATTATTCAGTCTACCACATGACGCGAAACCATCAAATGTCCTAGATAAAACGGTCCTCAATAGACGAGCCTCGTAGTAAATGAGTAGTTTGAGCACTGCACTAAATCAATTAATAGTAAGCCTGTACCGGTAGTATTGGGCTATAATTACATTTTATTTATTTTTTTATATTTTAGGTAACACTATATTCCTCGACCTCGTTAAACGGGTCAAAAATTTATGGGTAGTATTGACGTGAAACTTAATTTAATTTTTCGAAAAATCTCATGAATGCCGTACTCAAACAACGGTAATATAATTGGATATTATTAATTAGTAAGGAAGACAACTATCAAGATATGTATTCACTCACGAGTTATTGTAGACCGATGTCCGATGAGTGCACACGAAACGACAGGTCACTAACCTCTGGTACAATGGGCTGCTGGAAGGCAGTCTACAGACTGCATGAAATGTTTGTGGTGCCAAAAGAAGCACGTGGAGTTCTAACACCGGCAGCTGCCACACACCGCCATACATTTTAACATATCTTATCTTGACCACAATAGATATGCTTTATCCAGCAAACGCATAAAATGCTGGAAAGTACCTTTTACAAACTTAATCAAAACAATTTTCGGAACACGTTCGCAATAAATGGTGGAAAAATATAATAGGAGACAAGTTCTTTGTGCAGGCTATTTTTGAAACTCCTCGGCGCTCCTTAGCTTTTGGCAAGTCGGTTCCTGCTTCTTCAAAACAATGGAATCGAAAATGGTCTCTCCACGCGCAAAGAAAATTCATGTATGTTGTCCATACGCACTCAGAGGTAAGCGAGATAAAGAGAGTGAACTATTATCAAAAACAAAGACCTAAAAGACTAGATCATAGAGATTACGGAGGAGGAAGATTACCGTACAAAAAAAAATGAACCGGCTTGATTAATTTTATATCTCTCATGTTGTAGGCACAGCCAAACAAAGAAGATCCCACTTTTAAGTTAAATAAAAAACACTGTTTCTGATCGTTCAGGTGCTTGAAACTTTAATTCTAATTGGTTATATGATCAGTAACGGTTATATCATGGTTGAACTATACGGTAGTCTACTAGTTAAAGATGTCCGCTAAAAAAATTTTCATCGCAGATATCTCGGACATTTTCCTGCCAGTCTCCCAGTTGGCAAGCCAAAATATCTCCCAAACTAATGAACGTAACCCGATAAATTCCTATAAACGTTTATTTATCAAATCGGCGTAGCGAAATATTCTCAATTGTATGAAAGTGAAATTTGATTTCTCCGACGGCATTTGAATAGTATATTATTTATTGTATTCGAAACTACAGATGTTCGCATATGTTCATGCGAACTTTTCATAGTCATGGAGCATATGACACAGCATCGCAGAGAAAACCTCAAATAAGATATATTAACCTCAAATATAAGAGAAAAATATGGGCATTTATTGGTACCTGGTAAACGGTATTTCCAGTCCACAAGCATCAATTTTCATCATGGACTATGAGATTAAAAGTGATCCTCAAGAGTCTAAATGAAATGAAACTTTGGCAATCAAGTAAATAACCGCTGCCTATACACGAATTTATCCATTTTTTCATCCTGTCAGTGGAACGATTGATTCCGATCAAGAGATAAGTTAATTCCTTCACTCTTATCACGTCAACCTCATAATTTCCCAAGTTCATAAACAGCAAAGTTCTTATGAGGTCGGAAATTTTGTTTTCAAACATCGAGTAAGATATCAAGCATGAAGCGGACACCTGTCGAAAACTACCACGAAGAAAAAAGCACGAAATTTATACCTGTCAAATTTCCCATGGAGGGACAGAGGAGTAAAGTCTGTGAACAGCACGAAACGGACACCTGTCGAGTATTAGAGTCGTATGACAAGCGCGAAACGAATACCTGCGAGAACTACCACAGAGTGACGAATGTCAGAACGTTAAGAATCACAAAAGCCAGTTCCACCAACGTCCAACGGTGCAGCTAAAGTTTCATTCGGCGAGTTGAAATTCACTTCATTCAATTGATCAAGAATGATTTAGATAAGACTAGCAGGGGTTTCAATTACACAGTAGCAAGGGGTGCGATTATATGATGCATACTGCTAATCAAATTTGGAACTGATGCGTACACGAGTTGACAGCTAATTATAATGAAATATTATCAAGGGTAGAGAACACTACAAATCGTATAACTTGAATGATAAAACAAATGATCAATCATTTGAATTCTTTATTTACTTTCGAATTTAACTGGGTCCTGCAGAATTGTTTTGGAAAAAGATCTACGGTCAATGGGACCAGCATTAAAATACCTTCATGATCTTCATCTTTTTCAGCATTCAGAACAAAAGATGATAGGAACTTTACCAAAATAGTAAAAACAGAAAGTTTTTTGCAGGTGAACAAGTGCTGGAGTTCCCTGAACACTGTAAAGGAAAATAAAAAATACACAATTTCCTTTCGCAAAAATTTATCATGAGCGACGAATTTTTTTGTTGCGTTGCTGGTAAGATTCCTTCTTGTTTTTCTTGAGTGCGGCGATGAGGTCAATTACGGGAGGCCGGTCGAAGCCAAACGACTTCGCAACCTGCAATGAAGAACAAGAAGCTTATGGAAAATCATTGATAATCAATACTTCAATATTTTTTTCAGCTGTTTCCCCACTAATGGAAGTGTACGAAGAACGGGAGAACAATGAGATGCACAGACTACTTGGACGACAAAGATTTCTGCAAGGGGTAATGGCGATGGAGCAACGGTACGAGATTCAACAGGAGCTATTTCAAACTTAAAATTATTGAGCAAGGCGTTATTGATTTATAACAGTCAAATTCAGTAAATACTAGGAATAGATAACTTGGAATCCATCGATGGATACCAGAAAGTTGTTCTTAATACCAAGCGCAGAAATATCTTAATCGGAAGTCCAAAAACGGACACGCTGCCTAGTATTCGAATAAAAGTTCAAGGATTGGAGACGTTGAGCGCGAGCCTGACCTTGGCATGGTCGAGTTTGTTGTAGTTGAAGATGTCCTTCTGGCTGTGCTTCATGTAGGAGTAGAGGTAATCCTTGTAGGCCGCCCTGCCGCTCAGCGCCAGCAAGTAGCGCTCGTTCATGATTTTCTCCAACTGCTCAGTCGACCGAAAGACGTATGAGAATCGCATGTCTTCTTTGTGTATAACAATAAATGCACTCAACTGTATAGTGCGGTACCGCCATCACGGGAAGCAATTCTCATTGAATTTCTAAACAATTTTCATTCATCGTCATAGCATTCATTAGAAATTGAAGGAAGTTTTCAGCGAACTAAGCTAAATATCTAGTCTCTATACTGTACAAAAAAGCACGTCATTGTCACGTTAAAACGTGCCAAGGCGAACATGACAATTACAGATTGTTACATTATTTTATTTTCATGTAACGAATTTTTAGATGGCAAATTTTGTTTCACGTCTACTTTTATTTTGCAAAGAATCAAAAGTTCTCGACTTTGATGAGGAACACATACCATATTCACAGTGCAATGACAATCTTAAAGCTATAAGTAGTTTAGTTAAGAGAATAAAAGAAACTTCTTCAGTTCTTATATAGAATCGCAGCGGCACATTCCAGAAAATTTAATAATCGGACAAGAAAAAGGAAGAGCTTTAAAGATATGTTGCACAATAAACAACGCGCTCTACGATGAGTATGTCAAATGCACCTGGCTCTGTATGTTGTATATTTTTCCCTGGCCGATCTGTATGGGCTCAACGTTGATCTTGCGCTGCCTGAGGCACCTCACGAAGCCGACCTCAGCCTCGGACAAGATGAGCAGCGCCTGCCCCTCGCGGCCGCCGCGCGCCGTGCGCCCCACGCGGTGGATGTACTCGCTGCACAGCAAGCCAACATAAGCATCACTCCACGCGGCTTTAAACACATCACAATAATAATTCACTGAGCATAAGTGCAATATAATATCTCGGTGAAGCATTTCGCTCAACGACATTATGGATATGCCACGTTCATCAGGGTTCACACGCTCAACATTTCTCAAAAGATTTCCAAAGGGATTTTTCTTACAACAAAACTCCAGACCAAGATATGACCTCCGTTTTAAAAGACATGCAGATTAAAATCAGTTTTGTGGGCTGCCAATGCTGCCCTGGGAGCAGCAGCTCTTAATGATAACCTTTGTTGGTAAAGTTAAAATGGCTGCAACTGGTCATATAGCGCAGGAGGGGGAACAGCAGCAGCAGCAGTACTCACTTGACGTCCTCAGGAGGGTCGTACTGGATGATCCAGTGCTAAGGATGGAAGGAACAGCAGCAGCAGCAGTACTCACTTGACGTCCTCAGGAGGGTCGTACTGGATGATCCAGTCCACGGACGGTATGTCCCAGCCTCGCGCCGCCACGTTCGTGCACAGCAGAGCGCCAGACGCCGATGCGTTGAACTCCATGAACGACTCGGTGCGCTTGGTCTGCTTCTGTTTGCCCTGCACATTAATAGCCGCATAATTATTTACGTAGGCGAACTCAAGCATTGCATATGGTATTTCCCTGAATAATTCAGGAATTGCTTGACCAAATGAAGAGAAAAAATCTGAAAAAATTATTATTATTATTTTAACTCAGGCGGATAAAAAGGAAAATGATCTCATATGAGGACAGATGTACACGAAGATGGTCATGTCCGATCATGTAATCCTGACAACACAAGTTTTGCAAATAATCACTTTCTAATATATAAATAGCACAATGAAAATATCTAGAACTAACATAGATATAGTGACATTCCAGGTTAAAAGGAATTATTTTAGCCCTATTGATTCAACAATGATGCTCCATGCCATAAATGATAAGTTAACAACAGCAACTTAAACATTCCATTGTAGTCTGGTCAATTTTAGCCACAAAGTATGTACGAGGGGTGACTCAAATAAACCGGGCTGCCAGTGTGGTGGGCGAAGTTTTGGTAGTAATGCATTCTCCAAGTATGTGCATATGCTACTGACATTAATCAGTTAGTGTGCCACGCATCGCTATCCTGGAAGGCTGGATTCCATTTTCACAAATTTTTTTGTGACACTTCTTTGTGACATTTCTTTTGCGTGCTCGTCTTTTTTTATTATGTCTGATTTTCATGACAAAATTTTCATGAGCTGCCATCAAATTTTAATTCCTGCTGTGAAAAACTTTGATTAAATGCTACAGCAGCCTACAAGGATGATATTATGGGGAGAACGCAAGTTTTTGAGTAGTTTTCCCGCTTCAAAAAAAGGGGGAAATTTAAATTGACCAACCTCGCTCAGGTCGTCCTTCCACTTACCGCACTGAAGAAAATTTTGAAAAAATTAGAGATTAAATCCCTGATGATCGACTATTGACAAGCCCCTGATGATCGATCAATCCCTGATGATCGAAGTATTGACGAGCTTGCGGAACAGTATCAAGTGACTTGGTGCTCACTCCAGCAAATTAAATAAATAAATTCTGAAAAAACAGTCCGATTTTGTTTGGGGTCCCCCTCGCACTTGTCAGGAATCGATAGTCTTTTGCAAGATAAAATGTAGAACAGGAAGTAATAAATTTAATTGCCTTATTTCTATCAACTGGCATTCTATGTTTGCCTAATATGTAGCGTTTTAACCATAAATAGTCAAGACGTTATTTAGAAGCAAAATAACACAGCTCAATGGAAGATATTACAGGACACTCACATGTATACTCAGCACTCGCATGTCAATGAAAGCAAGGAGTTCTTGGTAGAATTTGACGGCCCCGCAGGAGCTGAAGAACACCATTATTTTCTTGTCCTTCTTGCGCTTGAGGAAAGTGTAGAGCACCAGGAACCGCTGCTCCACTGGACACACCAGGTAATCTGGACAACAAAGATGCCGTCAATAATAAGATGCGGCTTTTACGTTAAGTAATAACTGCGATTACAGACGACATGAAGAAAGACTTTAACTAATAGATTACTCGAGTTCATAATACCGTAATTGCTTAGTTTAGTAGTTCAATGGTTTAGGAACTCTCAGTCTCATGCATGAAAAAATTGAGAATCAACTACTATAAATATCGTTAAGGAATTATCAATATTTATATTAAATAATACGATTAAACATGTAATGACTTTATAATATTCTCGCACAGACTCTAAATAAATTTTTATACGAGTAAACAAGCCAATGAGAGGAAAAGTTCGATTCAACTGACACTGGTTGAGCTGGTCGACAGTGGCGTGACTCTTCTCTGCCATGAGGTCGACGTCAACGAGCGTGACTTTAAGGGCGATGTTGGTGAGGTTGTCGGTGCGCTCGTTCCTGGTGGCGCTGAAGAGCATCGTCTGCCGGCGCTTAGGGACCAGTTTGAGGATGGCCTTCATCTCCTCCTCAAACCCAATGCTGAGCATCCTGTCCGCCTCGTCCAGGATGAGGCAGACCAGGTTGCTGTAGAGGAAGCCGCTTGTGTTCTTCAGGTGGTCCAGCATGCGGCCAGGGCACGCCACCACCACGTTCACGCCTGTCAACAAGCCATCTCAGTTAGAAACTCGACAAAACTTGTATAATTCTATAGTTGAAAGTCTACATATGCTGAGAGTAGCACAACATTCAACTGTATGCAGACTGTACACAATATATACAATCCTATCAGCATATTCAGATAGATTATGTAATGAGGTTCAAACTACCAGAAGCGCCCATTATTTGAGCTCTAATAGGAAAATTCATCATGATATGAAACATCAATATGATCATTCTTTTATAAATGAATAAAACTATGTTCAGATTGTTCACATAACAAAAGCCCACTTCTTCAAAACGTGGAAGAGAATAAATATCCTTTAAAAACAGGCACAAATTCGGGCAGGACAGCGAGAAGGAATGTCACCTTGTTTAAGGGCCTTGCTCTCGGCTGCTCTGTTAGCGCCCCCGATCAGGAGCCCGTAGGAGAGGTTGTGTCGGTCGCCAAGGATCTGCGTCACGCCGAACGTCTGCATCGCAAGTTCCCGCGTGGGACACAAGATGATCACACCCGTGCCTGTGGCAAACAACCCCTCAACTTAGAGATTAAATTGTAAATAAATCTCACACTGGAATGAACTTGTTCAAAATTTTTCCTCTAAGTGTAGTAGCTGCTGCTGAGCACAGCCTAAATTTATCAGTATAAACAACCATAGCTTGAATAATAAATCAAGATATTATTGAACATAATGACATTATTTTCACTATGAAAAGAGCAAGAGACACCTGCATTATATCAGTTCCACTATGAAAAGANGTTCCACTATGAAAAGAGATGCCAGTATTATATGCGCAAATTAATCATGATCAAGCATTACCATGGTGCTGCTGGAACTCCAGTCTGTGTAGCAGCTCAAACGCCGGGATGAGGAACGCCAAGGTTTTGCCCGAGCCTGTCTTGGCAGTGCCACGCAGGTCCTTCCCTTCTAGCAGAGCAGGGATTGCTCTGGCCTGTTCAATGTTATCCATGGTCAATAGTGACAACTTGTGCTATTATTTCAGTTATATATACAGTGGCATTGGATGGAATTTAATAGAGTCAAATCAATAAAACTTGTCTATGAATCATAAAGTAAGAGGAGAATGAATTTAAGTCTAGTTAACATAATAAGATATTGATGTCAAAAGATATTGAGATATTACTTTCCAAAGAAGTGAACAGCATATTTGCGTGTGTGGCACTGATCTGTTATAGCATAGTTGTTACAATTTCAACAGTTCTAAGAAGAAATTCTGGCAGAGTAGTCAAAATAAATTCTGGCAAAGTAGTCAAATGAATACATGAAATGAATGAATTAAAAGCTTGCAAATAATACCTGCTCTTGGTAGCATTATGATAAAACATCTTCATTTGATTTCTTTTTGCAATGAAGCCATTGTGAACAACAATAAAAATTATAAAAAAGCATACCCATACCAATAGAATAATAGAAAATTGAGAATTATACAAATGAACTTAAATAGGGAAACTATTGATGTCTCCTACTGGAATAATTCACCAGCATTCAGCTCTCTATATTATTACAATTATGAATAAATAATGAACATCAATACTACATTTGGACTATGACAGAGCTTAAAATAGTAAGTGAGAGAGTTATGCAATAAAAACAAATTTAAAAGTGACAGACAGTCATGTTTCTCTGCACCTGAATTTCAGTCATCTCTGTGAAGCCTAAGCTGTCAATAGCAGCCATTGTAGGGGCTGACAACACGTGACGCATGTCTTCAAATGTCCTGCACTCTGAGATCTTGCCTTTCAAATCCATTTCAATGTCCTGGTCTGAAAAAAAATATATTGATAATATTAGATAAAATTGTGGGCAAAAATAGAATCAAAGGTCCCAAAGAAAAGAAGTAGGAATAATGGCATCCATGGTAAGCTTGTTGATCCATGTAGTCCGTTTTTGAAGCTTCAAAATTATAAAAATTTATTCAGAACTTTGGAATAAATACATCTTGGACCCAGATAATCCATTTTACATGCTCAAATCTCCTCCAAATCTTGTAATATTGAAACCCGGTGATGCAGCAAAACCCACCCTAAAATAGCCAATATGCCTCATTTTCAGGCCCTAACTTCAAATTCTGGTCACACAACTAGAAGATAAAATACACAACTAGAAAATAATGCTTAAGAGGAAACAAGAAAGCTTAGAAGGGTTTAAAGTTTAAACATTAATGTTTTCTTGGTAAACAGTGAAAATATGGCACCAATTAGGCATCATTGGACATGACAAGCTAAGGTAAACCACTCTCTTTGCTGCACAATACTATTCAATAAACTGTTGTTTATAGTTACCTTCCATTACTTAATATTGTAATATTAAACATAGATTGTGGGAAGTAATTGAATGTGGTCAAAGGTCTTTGAGGAATTAAAGGCAGGATATGGCTTGACCACTGACATCAAATAATGATGAATATATGAATACTATGTACCTATGAAGACCGATCATAGAATTCACTGAGAATCAAAAATGATGGCAATTGCTTGGGTGGGTGCACTGCTAGTTATTTTGATATAAATAAAGTTGGCAGATAGAGGTAATCTGAGTTCTGAGTTAAATGCTTCTCTCATGATTTAAACTTGCTGGGAGCTTTTAATGTAAATTATTATTAATTAGCATAATTCAGAGCAATTCAATACTCACCATCTATTGCATATTGATAATATGCAATAGATAATAGTAATATAACAGTACCTACTGGATCTGTTATATTACTCTATTACTTTATTTGATTCCAAACTTGTTTATGTTGTTGGTACTAGGCTGTAGTTGGTACTAGGGAGTATTGGAGTGAGGTAATGAAAGGTGCTGGATTTAATGGATGGAGATAATGAGTCTTTGGAATGAATGAATGGATTCAAAAAAAGGTAATTTAATAAAATATTAGCTACATCAATACATGAATAAAAATGTCCTAAACAATTAATTACTAAGGAGGGAATATAAAAACATGGCTGCATGAAGGTTGAGCTATTAAACACCATAAACATCCCTCCAAGAATGGTGTCACAAATTATAGGCAAAATGACACACAAGGTCCAAAAAGAGTTTGAATGAATGTTCTTGATGAATGAGCATTTTACTCCCAAATTTTGATTAGGCTTTTCAAACAAAATATTCAAAAATTTCCTGTTAACTAAATTTTTTGACCTTCAGCCCTTTAATAACACAGTGCAAATGTGGGCAGTAATAATTGCTTATACATGGATTATGCAAATGTATCTTTCTTGCAGAAGTACAAACCTTGAGGTCCTCTATCAAATAATAATACCGGTATTTATCATTATTATTTATATATACCATATATAACGAAAAACTAAAGATACAGTAAAATTTGCATGAAGACCTGAGAGATATTGTTCTGCTGACAGTTCTACTTAGTGTATCTTGCCTGTGACACGAAGAATAGTTGAACAGTGCGTGGATGTAGGAACTTCTTCATTAATTCCAACTGGCATTGTATCCTTGTTTTCTTCAGATGATCTGTCTTGCCTGCAGGATTTATCTTGCTCCACTTCATCCATTTCATTTGTAATAATAACTTTAGGAAAAGAATCTGAACTAGAAATATTGCAATTATTTTTAGAAACCAGTGAGTCTTGATGCCTTTTAGTCTTCTTTTTCTTCTTCTTTTGTTCAGCTTCTGAAGAACAAGAACTAATAGCCGAGTCTGCAGTTTTCCACTCAGGAGTTAAAATATCCTGACTTCCAATTGCCTTTTTTTCATGGCCATCATCCCTTTTCCTTTTATGCTTCTTTTGTATTTTAACTTTACTGTCAATTTCAAGATCTTCAGAGTCTTTACATAAATACTGAACTGGATTATTATCATTTAAATCCTCCTCATTCATATTTTTATCATGAATAGAATATTGACTACAATTTGAGACAAGCTCCTCATTTGTCTTGATACATTCAACATTTTTGATCTTCTTCTTCTTCTTTTTTCTCTCAACATGAAAGTCCTTTTCATTTCTATATGGTAAATCAGAACTTCCAGGGCACATTGTATTATCAACAAAAGAGCTCATGACTTTGCGTGTGAAATAGTGCACTGGAAATCAGTTCAATAAGGATCTGCAACTGAAAATGAGAAACATTAACTGGTTGAATGGGCTGATCTTGTAATATTAATGTCATATGAGTTACTACACCACAATGTCAAGGGGCTTCAGTAGAAACAATCTATTTTATAAACTAAACTGAACGACAGCTCTCTATGGAGAAAAAAAAACAAATTTGTAGTTATTATATAAATGGAAATTAAATCCATCAAACTATATATTTTAGTTAAATCACATAAAATAAACTTTTCATTGCAAGCAGCAAGTTAAGTATAATATCTGCAGAGTGACAATTGCATTATTGACATTTCAATGAAACTAAATTAAATTTGCTTCCAATCCAAATAAGTTAAGCTGAGGTTAAGATAAAATTCTAGTTAAGTTTGATTAAGGGGAGCATATGGGTGAAGAAAAATTGACAAATTCTGATTTCTATTTTTTTTGGCTTATTTTGTAGCTGCTGAAAAGTAGCATCCAATGCAGCAAACTGCATGCATGTGTGTTCTCTAGTTTTTGCATAAAGTAATTGTAAAATTATACAAAATGAACATTTCCTAACAATATGTATAAAGATTTCATTAGATTCAATCTGTATTCATAGATCATTATTCTCATTAATTGTAAAGTGTTTGCACTAGTTTGAAAGCTACAAACAAGACACATTCAACAAAGCAAATACCATGGTTGCATACAAGATAACTTTTGCACTAGGCTGTTTTGAACTTTTATAAAATGACCACTTTATAACAATATTTACACATTTTTATTTTAAAAAATGGTATTCATAGATCATTATTTTTTGTAATTGAAAAATGTTTGCACTTGTTTGAAAGCTACATCAATGCATGTTCACAAAAGCAAATACCATCAAACGGAGTAATAAGGGACGGTTTTGGGCATTTTTTGTTAATAACTTCTTACCATGAAACATTTCATAAACAAGTTTAGGCTCATTTCATAGCTCTTTGCAAGGGCTATCAAATGTCATCTTCAAAAAAATTACATATGCTATTCGTAAGGTGCCAGACGCAAAATAAAACTGTCCCGAATTACCCCTGGGAATGGGGTAATCCAGGACACTTGAAATAAAAATCAATTTCAAAATGTTTGAAGCATGCAGATTGTACTCATCCATTAATAACAGTACTCTGAAGTCCTCCTCTTTCATTGTAGATGATGTAGATGTAGAATAAATAACATTTTATGTGTTTTTTTTCCTTGTTTATTCTTTATTGATATGATATCACCATATTCATTCATTACTGTATTATTGATGCAATATTACCATATCCTCAAACATGCCATTAAGCATGTACAACAACCTTGTCCACTGCAAGCTTCATATCAGCAGCCATATAGCATTTTTTCTGTATCTGTAAGCTTACAGGACAGCTTGTAATTTCACACCATTTTTTTTCTTTTGGGGTTAAGTGAATTCACTATTAAAAAGATCATAAAAAACATACCTGAAACAGAAAGGAATGTTTTAGTAACAACCATCATATGTTTTGGAGAAATAAATCATAGTTTAGGTTAATTACTTTTCATTCTATGATGCCCAGTGCACAATTCTGTAGGTACTGTACATGACATTCTGTGCACAATTTTGTTATGCCTGAGGATGCATTAATATTTTTTGATATGCAAAATTTTTTGCTGAGTGAGGTAAATGTAATCAAAATTCTTTGTTTAATCAATTTTTTTTGTTAACAGGAACCTTTTCTAACTGTAGTTAAACTGTAAATGGGTTTTTAGGGGTATCCCTTATTACCCCTGGAGATGTCCCTTATTACCCCTTCGCGCAGAAATGGCTGCCATTTTTTTTTAATGAGATAGGCAAATTCCATCAATCACGTTTTCAAGCCAACACCTGTGTGAAACTTTTATGTAAATAAATTTTTTTAATACGGCAAATATTTCTTTTCCTCCAGACCTTAGTAGAGGTACTTTTCAAAATCGCACTTTTCCCAATTTTTTTCAGCGATTTTTTAGAGATAGCAAAGGTATGATTTCTTAACTAGTATTATACATAATAGATGTAAAAATGTTGAATTTTATGCCACTATTTTTAATTTTGCAATATTTTGATTAGTTTAGCTGCTACAACATTTCTACAAAATGTAGGATGCGCGTCCCAATTTACCCTGCCCATCCCTTATTACCCCATTTGACAGTATATTACACAGATGTACATGCAATGTTTCTTGCGCTAGGCCATTTTGAACTTTTACCATTTATAGGTATAATAACTCCCCTCATAAACAAGATACACGTCTAAAATTTGGAATGCTATCCTAGATAATTATTTTCAATATGCAGACATTAAGATAAATTATGTACACTTTTTATTTCAACTGTTATCAGGGAAGATAAAATTTTGCACCCCTATGTTTGTAAAGGGTGAGACTTTTCTGGCATTTTCTTGCTATACATTGGTTTAACTATTTATTCTTCATCGATTGCTGCCCTAAACATTTCTGAATTATTATTCTAGTGTTAGATATATGCACTTGAAGCCCAAAGGCAGGTGAAACTTCCGTAGATTAAAGCACTACCTGACCTTTAGTTGTGCTTTGGTTGTTTGATTAGACTAAAGGTATATCTCATTATTAACGACTACCATTTCCATTGTTACATTTTCAAACAACTGAAGAAACTTATCAACTAACGACTGGATAAACCTACAGACTATCGAATGGCATGTGGTGGTTCTGTGAATGCCAAAAAAACTGTCATTCTCAAAAACACTTGCTATTAATTATTCACGCGATGTGCTATCTGCTAAACCATTGTTATTGTTCACAAAATGTAAGAAACTGCAAGCATCATGTAATCGTATCATACACATGACAGAAGAACCTGTATGATACTGAACGTTATGTAGTTAACCAAGATCAGCATTCGCTTGAGTCTTGTTAGTCAGTTGTGCAGTCAGCCCAGTGCTGAAGGCGGACTAGCCAGTAGCTGATGTCTGACTAGTTTGTCAGTCTAGCTTTGCTAACTAGTCAAGTTGTGCTGACTAAAACCAGTTTTCTGTGCTGTCATTTTGCCTATGTGAATTAATGCTTGTCCTGAACTATGTGCATTAATACGGTGCAATACAGAGTTGTACATTTCTTATATTATATTAAAGTGCTTTTAATTGTAACATGAACATGATAAACTATTTAATTTTTGCGGAATTACAATTTTATCAAGGTGATTTCAAATTAACTATTTTTCCTGTTTGTGTCCTTAAGATTTTAAACAGAGTGAATTTAATAAACTATTTTAAGTGTGACTTTGTGATTTTAATCCATTGCCACTGAACCGGCATTCAATGGACGCTGACTAGGAGAGTTATAGACACAGCAATGTAGGTTGCATAAGAGAAGCACAGTTGCCTGAAGTTCATATATTGTCCTGGCCTATGAGCTGCGAGTGTCCGATCCTGATAGTGAATTATAGGCCTTAAATACGTCAAATTGGCTTGTAGCAGCTCTGGCCAGTGACAGTTCAATGACCAGATGACCTTTAACCCTTTATGCCCTGAATTTCTGGGATGAAAATTGTAAAATTCACTTTTTCGGTTCTAAGGCTCACTTCAAAGCTGACATTCTGACCTATCCAACGGTACCAAAATCGTCTCTGTACGTTGATTTATGCCTTGACGACAGTTCGTGAAAGGGTTAGGGGTGGGGGAGTTCTTTAACATTTAATATAGGCGAAAATTACTGGTCGGGCACATAAATAGACAACCTGAAGACGCTGCACTTTAGTTACCCGGCTGCTGTCATGTGGGATGGTGCTCATGCAGTCGTTCCCACCATCCTTGACTGAATTTCGGCTCCAGTAATGTCTAGTCTTGCATCTATGTCACCTTGAATGCCTATTTTGAGGGGCTCGGGACTTTGTCGCGCCCTACTGAACATTCACACTTATTGTCACTGCAAACCTATCTCCTCCCAGAGTTTTTAAGCTACAGCAATGAGTAATATA